GGCGAAGGGACCCGCCGGGCCCGGCCGGGCCCCCGAGGAGCCTCTCCCTCTCCGCGGCCCCGGAGTTCCTTCTCCCAAGCCCTTGGGGTCCGCAGACCGGGAGTAACCCCCGGGAGGCGGGAGGGGCGATGAGTCCGGGAAGAGCCGCGCGGGGGCGGGCCGGGAGGGCAGGTGAGTCACCGCGCCCGCCAGGTGAGCCTCGCCCCCGGCGCGGCGTCCCCAGGTCGGGCCGGCCGCCCGGAGTCCTGGGCGCGCTTCCCTGGGGAACCGCACAGGTGTCCCCGAGCGCCAAGCTCCCAGGAGAGTGCGCTGAGGCCCCTCCCTAGCTTTACCTGAGGGAAAACTGAGGCCAGGCAGACTATCCCGCAGTTCACGGCCCGGTGGAAGCGCAGTCCGACCCTCCCGGCCCTGGACTGGGGCCGGCTCGGTGGCAGAGCGCTCGCCCAGCGTGTGCGAGGCCCTGCCTCAGTCCCCAGCACCGTCAAGAAACAAAGTGAGGGGGAATCGTCCCTAGAGGTCACGTACCGGTCCCATCCCTCAACAGAGGGGGAACCCAAAGCGCTCCTGATCCAAAACAGGCCTCTCCTAGCACTGCCGCAAACAAATTTTAGGGACCTGACTTCTACCCCTACTGTCTGACCATTTAGGGAATTTTATTTGCATCCTTTTTCCTTGGTGAATACGCAAAATACAAAACAAGCCAGGCGTGGTGGTTCGTTCCTGTAATCCCAGCAATCAGGAGGCTGAGGCAGGAGGATCACTGTGAGTTCGAAGCCAGATACTTAGCTAGTTCAGGGGCAACCTGAACTATACAGCGAGACCCTGTATAAAATAAAAATAAAAAAATAAAAATTAAACCCAGGGCCTTTGTACTGAGTTACATTCCCATCCCTTTTTAAAAAATTTTTAACAGGGTCTCACTACAAATTGCTAAATTACCTGGGCTGGGCTTAAATTTGCTATCCTCTTGCCTCAGCTTCCCAGAATGCCTCGAAAGACCTACCCTCGGCGTATTTATCTTCAACTCTGCCGACCTCTCCAAGGGAAGGCAAACTCCTGAAAGGAGCTATATCCCCTACAGCACCAGGCACAATGCCCACTCCCTAGGCCATGTGTGCAGAGGCTGTTATCATTGAAAGTTCTAAAAGGTTCTGCATCCCCGCCCTAAAGAGAGCCGGTGAACATCTGGGTAGATGTGCTCAGTGTAACTCAAAGCACCACGAGTTTGTGCTGGTTAAGAGATGCAGACAAAGGGCAGTGGAACAATAGGGTGGAGGGAGCACAAGCTTCGAAAGAAAGACAAACTTTGAGGAGCCCGTTCTCCGCCTACACCCCATTCTGTTCAGGGCTTCAGGCCCTTTGCTCCTGTGGTCTCCCCTACCTATGCCTCCTACCCTTTACTAGGTTACATCAGAAAACAGTGATCGATACATAAAGGTTTAAAGGAGGGGCTGGGGATTTAGCTCAGCGGCATAGTGCCTGCCTGGCAAGCGTGAGGTCTTGAGTTTGATTCCTGGTACCAGAAAAAAATAAAAATAAAAATAAAAAAAAAAAAAACGAACAGGGAAATGATTTGTAGGATTATGCTCCATAGCTTTGTATATCCATCATTTCACTCAGGACCAGCTATTTAATTTGCAAGGCCTCTTGTTTAAAACTTTCAACAAGCCAGGCATGGTAGCACACACCTGTAACCCCAGCATTTGGGAGGCTGAAGCACGAGGATTAAAGGTTCAAGACCAGCTTGAACTACATAGCAAAACCCAACTTTAAAAAAAATGTGGTTAAAAAAAAGTGGTATTTTTAATAATTTCAAGACAGCAACAGCAGACCATTAAAGCAAGCATGGAGCTTTGAAGATCAAAGCACAGGGTTTGTTTTGAGAAAAGAAGGGCCAAGTGATAGAGTATGGCAAGAGATTTGCCATGCACTGCTTAAACCGAAACGAAATAGTTCCCTGCTTCTGAGAAACTCTAAAAAGCTCACTAGGGAAGAGTTGAGCATTATGTCCCAGGCACTTGCTGTGTACTGAAGAAGCAAGTGAAAACGAAGCCAAGTGTGGCAGCACTTACCTATAATCCCAGCACTTGGGAGGCTGAGGCACAAAGATCACAAATGCAAACCCAATTTAGTGAGATAAATCTAGTCTGGGGTTCAGTGACCTGAGGAAGTGACCTTTATCCTGTGGCCCACCCCAAGCGGACAGTAGCCCTCACCTTTCCACTGAAGCTGCTTTCGTCAATGTTCCCAGTGGCATCCCCATCACGTGCAACTGCTGTCTCCTTCCTTAATCTCCTGTGTAATCAGCAGCAAGTGATCACTCTTCTCAAAACACTCTCCTCGTGGCGTCTGGGGCACCAGGCTCTAGGATTGTGCTTCAACATCACTGGCTTGTAAGTCTCATTTGATGATGCCTTCTAAATCCTCCTGGACCCTAAGTGTTGGAGCACTGGTTCTCAAAGCCTGCTCTGGGAACCCCTTACCACTTCTCCAGAAGCAAGGAGGTAAGAACTGTTTGCAGAGTCGGGCGTAGTGGCTCATGCCTATAATCCCAGCACTCCGGAGAATGAGGCAGGAGGATTGTTGTGAGTTCGAGGCCAGCCTACACTACAAAGTGAGCTCAACGCTAGCCTGAACTGCATAGCAAGACTCTGTCTCAAAAAGCCAAAAAAAAAGAACTATTTGCATAATACTGAAATATCACTTGCCCTTTCCATTGCTGTTCTTTGGTGGGTGTAAATTAGAGTGTTTCACAAACTACATAATGTATGGTGTGGCATCACATGGCATATAAAAGCAGATTGGAGAATCCAGTCATCTTTTATTAAGCCAGACTTAGAGATTTGCAAAAATGCAGAACAATAACACTTCTCCCTGAATTTTATTCTTTTATTAAAATTTTTTTTCTTTATTCATTAAAGAAAACATTTTCTTCTATTCTGAGGATTGAACCAGGGCCTTCACACTGGGCTGCATCCCCAGGCTTTTAAAAAAAATTTTTTTAAGACAGGCTATCAGTGGTAAGTTGCCCAGCCTCCCAGAGTGTGGGAGTTATAGGTGTGCACCACCATGCCTGGCTTATTTTTCTTTTAAAAAGGTTATTTATAATAACATATAATGGGTTTGCTACTAGTATTTTTAATGAATAAATGAGTATCTTGAAATTTACAATTTTTATTTCTAATATAGTAAATATTGACAAACTTAGATAAGCAAAAGCTCCTTGAGATCTTTAAAAAATGTTAATAGTGCAAAGGAACCTTGAGATTAAAAGAAAAAAAAACCTAAGAACTACTGCTAGAGTGTCCAGCTCCACCCATGGACCTCTTTCTGTTATCAAACTATTGATGACTTTATCTAGTCTTTTGGCTTTAAATATGCTGATAAGTTAAGATTTACATCTTTAGTCTGAACACTTCCCCTCTATTTTTTTTTTTTTTTTTTTAATGGATATCAAACTCAGGACCTTGCGCTTGGCAGGCAGGCACTTGTGCCTCTGAGCTATATCCCCAGCCTTCTCCTCTATTCGTATTCATATATCCAGCTCCCTACTTAATACCTCCATTTTGATATCCAGTAAGCAGTGAAGCACCTTAAACTTCACAGGTCTCTATGTCCAGAACTGACTTCTTGATATTTCTTTTCAAACCTGCTGACCTCACAGGGTTTGGGTTGGTTTGGCTGGATGGTTGGATGGTTGGTTGGTTTGGTTTGGTTTTTAGGACAGTGTCTTGCTATGTAGTTCAGGCTGGCCTTGAGCTCACTATGTTGCCCTCTAGAAGATCCTTCTGCCTCAGCGTGCATAGTGATGGGCTTATAGGCATGCACTACCATGCCAACCTCACAGTTGGTTTTTATTTTTTTTCCTTAAATTGGTAAGTCCATTCTTCAAAAACCTTGGAATTATCCTTGACTGTTTTTTTCTTACACTTTTTATATCTGATTCCTTCAAAATGTATTCAGAATCCAGTGACTTTTTACTATCTCCATTGTTACCATACTAAATTAAGCCATCATCTCTGCCTGAATCTCAGAGGAGGCTCCTACCAGTCTCCCTCCTTCTGCCCTGGCCCCACTCAATCCAGTCTCAGTCCAGCAGCCTGAGTGCTCCTGTTAAAGCCTAAGTCTCAACGAGTTGCTCCTGTGAGGCCAAACCTCCGGAGGCTCTCACCAAGAATAAGTCTGCGTCCTTATAAGGGCCTGCAGAACTTGCTTCCCACACAGGCTTCCCTGACACAGTGACCTCTTTAT